CTATAAATGACATTACTGACAGGCCTGTCTTTATGTTGTGGCAGGGATGCATCTTACTAGATGGGCCCATCTATGTGTTGTGATGCTGTCAATGATATTACTGATGGGCCCATCCTTATGTTGTGACAGGTGTACATCTTGCTATGGATGGGCCCATCTATATGTTGTGACAGGGGTATATTATCCCAAAGACAGACCCTTCCATATGTTGCCAACTCTGTGATCTATCATAGAGGGGCCCCTCTTTATGTTGTGACCCTATAAAGCATATGACAGGTGGGCCTGTCCATATGTTGCAACCTTCTTCATGATACAATAGATAGGCCTGTCCTGATATTGTGACTTGGGTGCACCCTACCATGGATAGGCCTGTACATATGTTGCTCTCACTATAGGCCCTCAGGCCTGTCCATGTGTCATGGCTAATCTATTTAGATGGGCCCATCACAGGGTCTATATAAGTGTTGGCATTTTGGCATGCAGGCTACCTATATGTTGTGACTAAATGGACTACATGGGGTCTTTATTCTGGGGTCCATTGGAATTGCAGCAGGCTTGCAGTTGGTGAGATTATATTTCATCAGGATGGCCTCAATGTAGGACTGCTGGGATAGTGATATGGTGTGGGCTTCTCTGATCCATGTCACCTTCATCCCAAGTAGCCAACTGATGGGCCCTAGGTCAGAGATTTTAAAATGAGTGCTTATCTCCTGTTTGAATGAGCAAATTAATGATGGGGAACTGCCTGTTGCAGTGCAGTCATTGACATGGCTGGCAAGGATGAGGATTTCCAATCCTATGTGACCATGGAATACTCCCCAGTCTGTGTGTGCCCTGGTGAGTCCAAGATCTGCAAGAGTGGCACATAGCTTCTGGTACCATTGAAGTGCACCTTGTTTCAAACCATATAATGTGACATTTAACATTCCAACTGGACAGGAAAAATTCCACCCTACCATGTGGCCCTCAGGGAGCTCCATATAGATGTCTTCACTATCTCTGAGTTTGCCATTTAGGAATGCTGAGTGAAAGTCAAAGACATCAATGTCCCAGTCATTGTGTGCAGCAATTGCAAGTATAGTGCAAAGTGATGCAAGTCTTGTGATGGGAGCATAGGTTTCATCATAGTTGATACCCTTGTATCTGAGAGTAGCCCTTAGCAACTAGGTGGGCCTTGTACTTCTTGATCTCCCCAGTAGCATTGCATTTGATCTTGAAGACCCATTTGCATCCTATGACATTTGCACCTTTTGGGCACTCAACAACACCCCAGGTGTGTGCTTCCTCTAGGCTCTGTAATTCCACATTTATGGCATTTTGCCACTTTGGCCAGTCAGCTCAGGATTTCACCTCATGTACTGTTGATGGGTCCAGCCCTTTGGCTTCAGCCATCCCTGCCACCATAGCATACACAATGTTAGTATCATCTTCATCAGCAACTAGTTCTTCATTGAATACATAGGTAGCATTTTCTTGGGATTTTGGGCTGTTTGGGTTGCTATTGCTCTCTCAGAGATCTTTTACAAAGTTGAGAGGGATGCATCCATCATGAGTGCCTTCCCCTGCACATAGGTGCCTCATATAGTCTGATTCAAAGTGCTGGTGAGTGGAATGATGAGGTTGAGGTGGTGTTTCAAAATTCTCTCTGAGTGGGTCCAAAATGAGTCTCAGAATTTCTGAAGTTGCTTCAGTGGGTCACTTGACTATCTGCAGGGCCTTGGAATTTCCCTGTGAAGCTGCAGAATTTCGTTCTGAGGCTTCAGAATTTCTGTTTGAGGTGTCAGAATTCTCCTGCTCCCCCTTGAGCAGCACACCATGTGGTATGGACACATCTCAGCACTTGAAAATGACACTTCATTCAATTCCAATTGATCATGTGTCAGGCCAGTAGATGTGGTGGCCATCACTCTCAGGATCAAAACCTACCCAGTGTCCATCTTGGGCTCGCATGTCTAGCTTGGAGCCAGAGGTATCATGGACCTTGACACAACATCCCCAGACTGGGATATTTGAGAGGTTGGGTGGTCTGTTGTAGAGCATTTTGTAGGGAGTCTTGGTGCCTAGATGATGAGTCAATGAGTGGTTTTTGAGCCAAGTTGCATGCATGATGGCCTCCCCCCAGAGGTTCTTGGGTAGGCCACTGGCATGAATGATTGCACATACATGTTCAACAAGTGTTCTGTTGAGTCGTTCTGCAACTCCATTGTGTTTAGGGGTATCATGGACAGTTATGTGTCATTCTGTGCCTTGGGATTTCAGATGTTCTGAAAATTCTGCACTAATATATTCTCCCCCATGATCTGAGTGAAGTCACTTGACTTTGGTGTCTAACTGCATGTTCAGCCATGCTTCCTAGGCCTCGTAGGATTTGAAGGTTTCAGCCTTCATCTTCTGCAAAAATAGGGTGGTGTAACAAGTGTGGTCATCTGTGAATGAGATGTAGTATTGACTGTGGCCTTGGGTTTGGACCAGAGAAGGTCCCCAAAGGTTTGTGTGGACCTCATCACCAAGGTGTTCATAGCAGGGTGGGTCACACTCTTTCCCAATGGGCTTCTGAGTTGCTTTGGCATACTCACATGAATTGCATGTGCCCATGGTGGAATGTGCTTCATCCAGCTTAATTCCAGTGATCATGCTGTCCTTGAGCATGTGCTGGATGGCTCCAGGAGCAATGTGACCAAGCCTGATGTGTATCTCCTCCATGGTTAAGGATTCTGTGGCCTTAGCTAGGCCTGCAAAGGCATGACAAGCTTGTTTGAGGCAGTAGAGGCCTTTTTGCATTGGAATTTTGGCTACTTTCTTTTTCTGAGTGTCAAAAATTTGACAATGCTTGTCTCAGAATAATGCAGCATACCCAGCAACATCAAGTTTGCTAATGGAAACAAGTATAATTCCCATCTTGGGGGCATAGAGCATGTCCTTGAGTTGAATGTGGGTTTGCACAGTGCTGTTTGGGAGTGAGATTGCAAGGCCACCTTTCCTGATGGCATGGAAGGCATGGTTGTCAGCAGTGGTGATAGGTTTAGGAATGATTGGCTTGTAGTCAAGGAATTTGCTGTGGTAGGAGGACATATGATGTGAAGCACCTGAGTCAAACAGGATGGTCTCTTCTGTGGAATTTAGGCTTTCACCTGTGAGCAGAGCATAATCGAAGGTGTTTGTATACATGTCTTCTTCATCAATAATGATATCCTGGGGGTTTGGAATCTCTTCCTCCACAATTTCTGTTAACCAATCATCATCCTGTGGGTGCACTAGCCAGACTCCATTGGGTTTGGAGTCAGCACTGGTCTGTGTGCTTGAGCTGGCTGTTGCACTGGCCACAGTAGCTGCTTTTCCAGAGCCTTTTTCCTTCTTTTTCCCTTTGCCTTTGTTCTGGAACCACTTGGGCACTTGCCCAGCTTTTCTGCCACCCTCTTCCCAGCATTGGTCTTGCACATGACCTTTCTTTCCACAATTTTCACAAGTAGACTTCTTTCCATCCTTCACTGAGTAAGCTGCATCTTCAGAATTTCCAGAGTTTCCAGAGTTGCCTCTCTTTGTCCACATTTGGCACCTATCATATTCATCAGAAATTACTTTGATTATAAAGTCCAGAGATAGGTCCTTTTGCATGACCAGGGCCAAAGATGTCATAGCTGTGAGGTTGGAGTCATATGAAGCAGGAAGTGAACTGAGGATGATTGCTGCAAAGTCATCATCTGTGATAGACTGTCCAAGTGCAGCAAGTTGTTCACACAGTGTGCACATCTTGTCAAAGTGAGCACAGACATCACCTTTTTCTGAACAGCAAGATTCTTGGAGTTTTCTCCAAAGATCAATTGCAATGATGCAAGAGCAGTTTTGAAAAAGGTCAGTGAGGACACCCCACACACTCTTCACAGTCTCTTCCTTCAGAACTCAAAGGAACAATGATTCCAGGAGTGACACAGTGATCACTTGCTTGATGTATCCATTGTCCTTTGCTCATTGCCAGAGTTTTTCTGGGTATTCATTGACAAGTTTTTGCTCCGTGGCTGTGGGCTTCCAGGAGGAGTCTTTTCCTGCTGAAGGGTCCTCTGGTTTTGCATCCAAGTTGGTCAGGTGTCCAATCAGCCCTTTTGAACTGACAGCCCATTCAACCTGAGCCTTGTAGTATAGCCAGTTGCTTCCATCTGCATTTAGGGTTGGGACTTGTAAGGAATGATTGTCTTTCACCATAGTGGGTATTCTTGCTGTGTGATAACTCTTTTGGAATTAGAGCATGAGAGCAGGGCTCATATCCTAACAAAGTTATGAGTATCTCAGTGTACAGAGTAGTCACTGTATTGGTACCTAATGAAGTTATGAGTATCTACACTATGTCAGTACCAAGTAAATGAATGCAAGTATAAGTATGCTCACCTCAGTGTATGGAGTAGTCACTGAGGTGGAAAAGAACAGTGCAGAAACTTTATAGTACCATAATTAGTAAGCATGGTGACATTGGAATTTAATTCTGAGGGTCAGGGAGAAACTCCAAGCCCTCTGGGTGAAACTCCAAGAGGCTATTGTAATTCCAGAATGCATTCTCGACAGTAACTTGTAGGGATCCTGCGAACGACAGAGAGTTTCTTCGCAACTCTTGCTGGCTAGTAGTTGTAACATTCAGGCTGCTAAATCTGATGTACGTCAATCCCGCGTAGAGCATGTCAGTGCTGCGCTGCATTGTAGTAGCTTGGAGGTTGGAAGGCGTCGACACAGCCACGTTGGTCTTAGTCGGACGGAGGTAGGCGTGGACATGATAGATCGTCGAAGTGCTTGCCTCGAGCTCAGCTCAGTGCTCGCGAGGCTCTCTCTCACTGCTCCAATGTGAGGAAAATACGTGTCAGTTCCGTCCCTCGAGACGACGTCAGCACCAGCTTAGCCGCCTTACGGGACCGAGGTACTCCATCCGTCACACCCCGCGAAAGGTTGAATTGTCCAGAAGACACACATACCTTCTGTGGCGGGGTAATCTCCCGTGTGTAGACCAAAGATCGTGACTGACAAAACGCCCCTCTGTCAAGGACGAACCAAGGGTGCTCTTTGCTGTGCTCGATGATATGGCAGGTTTAGTCTCCCCTATTTCAGGCACGACGGAGGACAATCGTTCTCTGGCAGGCAGGAAGGTTTCTCACGAATGCCCTTCTTGACGCCAGTTGCTTTGGATATAAGAATACGCCTCAACACTCAACTATCAGTGACCCATTCAAGAGGTGGAAGATTATTGGCGATTAAAATCCTGGCTCAGGCCACCAGAAACTTGGTGAAGGCATTACTTCTAATCCTGCATCAGCGTCCACGTTCACACCATGCTTCGCGTATACATTATGCCTCGCGTATACACTATGGGTCGCATACACGCTGTGGATCGCATATACACTATGCCTCGCAGAAAGTTAGTGTATTCTACACGTCACGTTAGACTGATGGGATACCGTCTCTTGCAGGCCGTGCAACCCGTCCACATCGATCTTTGATAAACTGAGTCAGTTCAGGCGACTACACAGAAACCTGGCCACAGCGTGCTTGCAGCAGTTCAGCGAGTCGGACTACGCAAAATTCAAACAATCGTTTCTGTTGTACGTGTGCCGTCTCTCATTCTTCAATCCCAATATGATGAGCACCTTCATTCCAGTAACAATCTTCTCGAGCAGCCAACACTACCGCCTCTTGAGTAGGTGGGATACTGTAAGTTAATGATAGGGGTTGACGATGTTGCTCCAGTGGAACTAGTCTGCACAGCGGTGTCCAGTCAAAGATTCGTTCTTACGTCTTTGCAAACGTCCCCCTGCGGGTCATAAAGTTACCGGAGATGACGCTCATGGGAAGAAGCGCGGCGGCAGATTATCTTGTCAAGACAAAACTCGAGAATGTGGTGCGAGCAGTGGCGCAACAGGTATGGATGAACATGATGATTTGGGCAACCAAGGATGAATATTTCAGGAACAAGCCGCGCGGCGAAACCATTACTAAAGGAGGTGGAGGACATCACAAGATACGCCATCTTATCACATACGTGGGAAGCGGACGAGCCCAATTATTAAGACTTCCACAACCCGTCCAGCCGTGGTAAGCAAGGCTACAAGAAACTCGCGAAGTTTTGCAATATCGCGCATGAAGATTACAAGGTCGAGTTCGCTTGGGCGGACACGATCTGTATCGACAAGTCCAGTAGCGCAGAACTGGACGAACCGATCCGTTCGATGTTCGCATGGTATCGTAATGCGGCCATTTGCATCGCTTATGTCGGCCAAACAAACTCTCTGCTTGACCTTGCCGCAGATCGCTGGTTCACACGGGGATGGACCTTGCAGGAGCTCCTTGCGCCGTTGCGATTCAAGTTCTATAACAAGGACTGGTTCCCGCTTACCGACTTCCCGAACGATAAGATCCATGAAGAGGATGCCAGAAAATTCGGTGGTGGAACCTACTCCCTCCAGTTCCGCCTTCTTGGCGATGCCATCTTGGCGGCAACTGGTATAGAACCGCGTCATTTTCGTGACTTCGAGCCTGGGTTCAGAAACCCATCTTTACCCGAACGCATGAGGTGGGTCGCTCGAAGACTCACCACCAGGGCGGAGGACAAGTCGTATTGCATGATGGGAATATTCGGCGTCAGCATGTTGGTTGCATATGGAGAGGGCCCGGAACACGCATTCTTCAGGCTCTTTCAGGCGATTCTAGACGTGGCATGCCATTCCGCGTCATATCCATCCTTCGCGCATGATTCCCCCTGGCCCTGAATGCTATTTATTCGGCAAGTCAAAGATCAGTGCACTAGAAGCTGTGCAGATGGGATCCTTCGACGATCCTCTCAGCTTAACCAATATAGGTCTGTCGATGAGGCTGTTGATCATTCCTGCACGCGTTGATTCTCCAAGCGGCAAATATGACCATCAGAGTCCCGGAAATCTTCGCGTTTCGAGTCCTCTGTTCGACGACATTGTTATGGTGAAAGGTAACCCGCCTAAGTCGGCCGCAAACGAATTTGCGCTTGGTATCCTTAGCAGCAGCTTGCTGATGCTCAGCTACGGAGCTCTTCGCCGTACATATGCCATCCTGTTGCGAAGGGACGGGACGCTACAGATGAATTGGCAAAGGCACGAGACGGAAGAAGTCCTTGCTTTCCGGCCTGCGAAGAAGTTTCGTGATGCGGTGCAGACGTATGAAATGAAGATGCGACTCAATAATATTGCAGATAATAGTAAAGAAGACCTGAAGGTGAAACTGGAGACGGTACATTTGTGATGTAGGAGGTATGTAGGGGCACATTCTTGTTACGATCACTGACTGTCTCTAGCCAGGCTAGACCGCGCTGGCAAACTAGCAAAATTCATCAGTATTCGGTGGTTGTGTAGGGTAATAAGGCACACTGGAATTTGCTCGTTTCCTCGTCTGCTATATCTTGTCAAAGTTCAATTGGATAATATGCTACAATTACAATGTGTTTGATTTGGGAACTATCAGAAAAACGTTGAGACAAATGGCAAGAGAGATTCTTTGCAATCAATACTGCTGACTGGTTGTAGCCCGGTGTCTTCGTTAAGCACAGGCCAGGACGGACGCGTGGTTTCTCACGGAAGCTCTTCTTAACTCAACTCATGGCCTCTGCTGTCCGACTCGCATTCAGACCGAGGCTGCAATGTAACGGTGTCGCTGCTCGGACACCGGGCAAGGCGTTCAGCTCGTCGGCGTCAAGACGGGACTTTCATTTTGATACCCATCACTTCGTGCAACGCCTCGAACGCGAGGGACTGACTCGTGCACAGGCAGAAGGAATCATGAATGCCATGGCAGAGGTCATTGACGAGAGTATACGCAACATGACCAGCAATATGGTCACAAAGGCCGAGCAGGAAAAGGTATGTATTTGTCCGTCCAACACAATACTTTGCGCTCGCTCAACACGTGTGGTAGCACCAATACACACAACAGGTCGACATCGCACAGATCAAGTCAGAACTACAGCTCATGGAGAAGAACGATCTCGCCATGCTCAAAGCGGAGAATGACCGTCTGCAAACTGACATGGAGAAACTCAAGCAGCGACTCAGAGAAGAGATTACTCGTACACAGGCTGGAGTACGACTCGACCTAAATCTGGAAAAGGGCAGGATGAGAGAGGAGAGCAGCGGTCAAGAACTCAAGATAAAGGAAGTCGACACCAGGATAGAGCAGGAGATTGCGAACCTAAGAACAGCCATCCAAGTGTCCAAGGTATGATGTGATCCTGTCGTCTGCGATTGGCCGTGGTATACTCAACATTTGCGCTCAAATTTAGGCGACCACGCTCCAGTACTTGGTCGGGTTCGGTATGTTACTATGTCCCCGCAATAGGCGGCTACTGACGCCGTTGCCGTCTACAGTGACCGGCTGCTCTGCACTGCTGATGGCATATCTCAGATTCCGGATGTAAATCTGGAAATGTACTTTTTCCAATGGACTGGTATTTATATATCAAGGCTATATACTTCATCCACATCTAATCCTGCAGAATGTCTCCTCATCCACCGGTACAGCTATTTATCAGCTCTTTTTTTAGGATTTCAATCGTCTAGCGGGGGTAAGGTGTCTCCCTGTATCGGGTTCCCCAATGCCACGTCTCTAAACTTGTTGTATGCGGTGTCGAGATCATCATTGACAATGATGTAGTCGCATGCTCCCTCCTCTCGCGCGTACGAGATCTCCACGATGGCAGTAGCGAGCCGCTTTTGGATGGCTTCTTCTGAATCTGTCGCGCGACCACGCAGACGTTCTCGCAGCACTCCCATCGATGGAGGAGAGATGAATACGTAGACGGGGTGTAAATCGGTTTCCTTGACTTGTCTGACCCCCTGGACAACCGTGCTCCGGTCAGATGTCGTTGACGTGCATTCATCGAAGACGCGACGCACCTGAGACTCGATATCGAGGATGCAACGTCTTCCAGTTGATTGCACGGCCTCGATAGCCCGGACACTAGTACCGTAGAAATTGCCGGAGAACTGTGCATGCTCGATGAAGGCGTTCTCGCTTAAGAGAGACTTGAATGTATCCTGGGTAACAAAGTGGTATTCCTTTCCATCTGTCTCGCCTGGACGCGGTGCACGCGTGGTATCTTGTAGTGGACGCCGATGATTGATTTTTTTCGCAATGGTAAGTTCAATAAGACGGCGTGGAGAGGTGAAATCACGCCGTACGAGATACGCTAAAAGCAAACTTGTCTGGGTAGTCTGCGAAGAGACGCTTTATGAGTGTACCCTTCCCCACTCCCGAGGGTCCAAATACGACGAGCGGTGTCGTCGCTGTCATGGTCGATGCCCGTTGAATGAGCTGGTGAAAGCGTGACATGTTATGAGCGTGACAATCTCTGAGTGTCACACATCACGGCATCAGGCCAGACAGAAATATCTTAGAGCTTACAGCTGGCAATTCAGTTGAAACTTCAAACACGCCTGGGTCGTCGTGCAGGGCAGTGCCAGCGACGAAAGGCCGGCATTTTTTATCAAACGCTCCTAGCAACGCTCTTTCATTCAAAACCATTTAGTCTGCAACAGTCACACTCGTCATTATGGGTGCCCTCTGCTGTAGACCACAGGTGTGTCATTCGATCGAAAAAAAGGACATACACATCTCTCAACTCAAGCGCTCATATAAAGCCCGTGGACTTTGACGGGGAAGTCAATCTTTTCCACTTTATCCTCCTACGATGCGTCGGTAAAGGTGCCTTTGGAAAGGTAAGCATTTACCACACGAGGCGTTTGCATCACCATCACCTCCCCAATCTTCTATCGCACAGGTTCGGATGGTCCAACACAAACAGACGCAAGAATTGTACGCCCTAAAGTACATCAACAAAGCCAAGTGTGTCAAGATGAAAGCCGTCGCCAATATAATTCAGGAGCGAAAGTTACTCGAAGAGGTCGGCAGTGTTGTCCCCCCACTTTCGCACCTAAATTGCTTATGTAGCGTGTTTTAGATCGATCACCCATTCGTTGTCAACATGCGGTATGCTTTCCAGGACGACGAAAATTGTTTCTTTGTGCTAGACTTGATGCTCGGAGGCGATCTGCGATGTGCGTATCTCTCGTCTGTCTCTCTGATTTTGACCTGATGTAATTTGGCCCAGTTCACCTTGAAAGATCAGGGTCTCTTTCTGAAGACACGGTGCGGTTTTATGTGGCGGAAATTGCGTCGGCACTGGCATATCTCCACGAGAATCGCATCACGCACCGGTGCGTTTGGGTGCTTCCACCAAGCTGTTTGCAAACCACTGAATTCCTATGCAGCGACTTGAAACCAGACAACATCCTCCTCGATGCCTCCGGCCACGCCCATCTAACGGACTTCAATATCGCCGTCCACTTCTCTGAACGCCGACTACTATCCGGCGTCGCAGGAAGCATGGCCTACATGGCCCCCGAGATCCTCGCCAAGCGCGGATACACCTACACCATCGACTGGTGGTCTCTCGGCGTGTGCGCCTACGAACTTCTCTTTGGCCGTAGGCCGTTTAAGGGAAGGACAAACACCGACTTGACACATAGCATCACAAAGGACCATTTGCGATTCCCGGAAGACGCGGAGAAGAAGTGCAGTCGTGCTGCTCTGCAGGCTGTCAAGGGTGTACGTCACACATTCTTATTGGTCCATTGGCCTAGCTGTTTACCCCGTAGTAGTTCCTGGAGAGAGACCCTTCGCGACGGTTGGGATGCAAATCCGGGGAAGGCTTCGAAGAACTCCGACGTCATCCCTGGTTCAGCTGTATCGACTGGACAGCACTCGAAACGAAGTCGATACCTCCGCCCTTCATTCCTGACGTATGTCGTGGAAAATCTCTCACAGTCGTGTTATAGCTCACTCCTTTGTCTATCAGTCGAAGAAAGCCAACTTTGACGCGTCCCATGAATTGGAAGAACTCTTGCTAGAGGACAACCCGCTGAAAGCCAAGACGCGCAAGAACCGAGATGTCAACACCCTGAGTGTTGAAATGCGACAGATGGAAGACCAGTAGGTCACCTTGCAGCATAAAAATGCGTCAGGCAGGGTTCAAAGTTTTTTTCGGGATCACAGATTTGAGACCTATGACTTCAAGAAGATGCTACGCCGCTCTTATTATCCGCATAACCAGCAGATAGTGTCATCCTTCACCGCTGCAACGTCGTCATCGGGTGGTCCGATAGCATCGAGACCTGTGACACCAGCTGCTACCGAGCAGCGGCTGACGCGCATTACTACATCAGAAGACTGCTCACCGTACACTGGTTGCGAACCTGTGCAAATGAAGAACGTGCAGTACGGAGAGAAGGCTTACTCATGATCTCGCCCTGGACCCTGCCCACGGCTGTGTTCGGTGAACAAGGCTTGAATATGCGTCCCTTTTATTTTTCCGACACTCTGGTCAGCGGATCTTGTCCTCGTTTTGGTCTCACTGACCTCCCGCCACTTTCCTGCTCTCAGTGCGTGGAAAGGATGGGATTTCTTTCTCACATTTGCAAACGTCATTTAATGCCCATGTACGATGGTCCTTTTTCTTTTTCTTACCTCATCTCAAGCAAAGATGTGCTATGATACCTCTGTCTTCTCCACTCTTATGCAACTGAGTTTCACCCTTCATCTGGATATTATTGTTTTCGTGGGGGAACGCTCTCTTTTCATTTTGAGGTTCCACCCGGATGACAATGACTAATGCAAAAACTCTTTCCCCACAATCTACTCCTTGTTAGTTCGATATGGGAATAGTCTTTTTTTCTACTTTTGTATCGCTGACTTGCGGTGACTATGACGCTGCATCTGTAACATTAAACAAACAAAAATAAAACAGCTGATTGCGCGACTTTTGCAGTAATGCGCAGAAAATTTGCAGGTGGCTGTGCCCACAGCTACTGACTAAGCAGGGCACGTGCACGGGGGAGCGAGTGAGTCAGGGCTACACGCACTCCTCGCCCGTTCCTCGGGACTCGTTTCGATGCTACTGTACATAACCCATGTAATAATGGGTATTTGCCAAGAAATGGGCCTAAATACGCTAGGCCAGTGATGACTTGTGGCGCGGAGTGCGGTCACATGAATTTGCAGGTGGCGATGCCGTGTGAATTTCCCGAAGGAGCAATCCCGCCACCAGGCGGGAGGGGCGGGGGAGGGGGTCGAGCGTTCGAGCGGGCCCTGTGGGGCATCACGGCCTCGTGGATTGGGCGGGATGACTGGGGAGGGTGCCGACGAACTGCGTTCACGTCCTGCCTACGTTTATCTATTTTATCTGCCCTCCTAGCTAGTGCAAAGTGGTACAAGGTGGCTGTGTTAAAAATTATGCAGGGGTAGTATAAAAAGTTGCGCAGGAACAGTGCTGCAAAAGTCGCGCAATCAACTGTTTTATTTTTTTTTTGTTTAATGTTACAGATGCAGCGTCATAGGTGACAGTTCGGTATCGTCTTGTTTCCTGAGGTACATATATACGTGGATATTACTACATTACTGTGCGTATAGAAATACTAGTGGTGCTTGTGTATATACTGGATGATGATCGATGACGGCACGAACGTATCGCCGTTCTATGACGCTGCATCTGTAACATTAAACAAAAAAAAAATAAAACAGTTGATTGCGCGACTTTTGCAGCACTGTTCCTGCGCAACTTTTTATACTACCCCTGCATAATTTTTAACACAGCCACCTTGTACCACTTTGCACTAGCTAGGAGGGCAGATAAAATAGATAAACGTAGGCAGGACGTGAACGCAGTTCGTCGGCACCCTCCCCAGTCATCCCGCCCAATCCACGAGGCCGTGATGCCCCACAGGGCCCGCTCGAACGCTCGACCCCCTCCCCCGCCCCTCCCGCCTGGTGGCGGGATTGCTCCTTCGGGAAATTCACACGGCATCGCCACCTGCAAATTCATGTGACCGCACTCCGCGCCACAAGTCATCACTGGCCTAGCGTATTTAGGCCCATTTCTTGGCAAATACCCATTATTACATGGGTTATGTACAGTAGCATCGAAACGAGTCCCGAGGAACGGGCGAGGAGTGCGTGTAGCCCTGACTCACTCGCTCCCCCGTGCACGTGCCCTGCTTAGTCAGTAGCTGTGGGCACAGCCACCTGCAAATTTTCTGCGCATTACTGCAAAAGTCGCGCAATCAGCTGTTTTATTTTTGTTTGTTTAATGTTACAGATGCAGCGTCATACCGTTCCGCTGCGGCGAATCGTTGAAAAGCGGAAGATCAAAAGAGTCGGCGGCGGGCTGTTTGCTGGTTGCACTTACATATCACATGAAACGAAACAAGGTGTACCTGGCCAACCTAGCCGACTTCAGGTTAGCATACGATCTGTCCATCCGGAAAAAAGATTTTTGTTCCGCTCATTCGCATCTGTGCTGACGGGCTGATGGCCCCAATGTCAAAGATAACGGTACCGACGGCTGGTACCTAGCGCCTCGTAGCAAACGCAGTGTCTTCGTGATGTCCTGAGCCCATGGGCCCCGTTATCCCATACCTTTATTTGCGTACCGGAGGGAGTGCGACCACCTCAACCGCGCGTTTGTCTACGGAGTAACTTTGAGCGGCTTGAGGTCGAAGACAATGACTGATCAAGGGTGTCGAGCGTTCGAATGACAATATATTCGCGAGAAGGCGTGGATACGGTTAAATACGGTTCCGCAGGCGGCGTCATGCTTGGATCTCTGCACAGTGGCCCTAGATACATATGTCCGCGGTGCTTGGACTTGCTCTTCCAGTAGTGAACGACAGAAAGGAACGCTTTATGAGGTCGACGCAATCGTTGGGGAGACGCACGTCGTATATCGATCGTAAGAAAATCTTGGTAAGAAGTGCAAGGGCCAGCTTTTCCGTTCGAAAATGCGGAAGAGGAGGAAGGGGGGAGGGGGGGGATGGGCTCCTTTGTCTTCGGGTTCTGTAGTTGGGGAGAACACAAGGAAATAACAAACCAATGTATGCATATGCCAGGAGGATGTACAGGGAATGGTTAGAAGCTGCCATGTGTGACATGTGCTAGCCCATACAATTTCCTCAAACAAACTACATACTGTACAAAGCACCGTTTACTAGATGATGCCAGACGGGTCAGACAGTAAGATGTGCCAGGTTAGCTGTGAGGTTGTGCACGTTGACACCCGCAGACATCTGTACCGTCTGAGCTTGTCCGAGTCCGATTGAGCAGTCTGCATCTGACGGAGCAGACTCCACGTAGCTTTCCCGGCGGAGACGTAGCTGAGGCTGCCAGCTGCCCTTTGTGACGTGGTGGAGAGAGACCAGGATCAAATCTTCAACTTTGATACGCTTCGGGCCAACCTTCCACCTGCGGTCAGCATTTGTCTCCATAGGTTGCTTCGCTGCCCACTGTAATGATCGTCAAAAGAAATTCCAATGCACAGCTATCCAAGCGTACCTCAATGAAACGCTTGACACAGTTCACTAGGTTTTTGACCAGCTTGGCTCGAGTGATCGGTCCTTTGGGCGTTTTGAAGTCATTGGTGGGGATTTGCTTGGTCCACGGGCGATAACCAGGCCACTGTTTGAGCGTGATGAGCGAAGTGTATTGGTAATTTTACGAAGGGGCGCACCTCGATGCGGATGGACACGGACGGACCACATCCCACAAACATTGGCTCGTCTTTGTCCTGCAAATCCTTGTGCTTAGACCTTATGGCGTCCTCCAGTGTGACACCGTATTCGTATGGGTTACTGGAAAAGAAATAGATGACTGGCTTGAGTTCGCACTCAGCGATGTAGCGTTTCTGGTCCGCCTCCGTGTATGGGCGGTATATTTTCTGGGGAACGAAGATTCCAGTTCCAGTCTTGATGATGGCGAATCTCTGAACCCAGAACCAGTTCGTGACGTGGGGTAGCATGGCCTCAGCTACTTCGTCCTGTGATTGGTTTGCATAGCTGGCTACTCGAAGATGTCAGGAAATCTTACGTCATCGTCATTGCTTTGCTCGACCTGCACACCCTCGAGGGGTGAAATGGGCGAGAGAGCAGAATAAGGGGGTGACTTCGTTGGACTCTACGGAGGGTTGTTCGTCGTAAGTTCCTTGAATCTCTTTAGATATGACCTACGAGGTGTGCAACCGACGCATCTAGCACCGAGTGCGGTGAGGTATTGATACGGACGTCGGGTAGCGGGGTGTCCATCGCCGACCCCGGACCCGGCGTGAGAACAGCAGAAGACGGAGCACGAGTCGATACTTCTGATCCCCCGGAGTCATAATAAGGAGGGTGCGGTGTAAGTCGTCTTGTGTCGATGTGCAGGTCAGTCGGGTAAAGCGACCCTTGATCACTTCCTGAGGAAAGGTCCGGAGGGTGGAGGAGGTAGGGAAGCGATTCGTTGTTACCAAAGTCTTCGGCGTTCTAAAACGTGTTGATAGTCGTCATGTGCGTTATGTCATCGCTATGGAATGGCTCACCGACAGACCCGTCGAGGTCAAAGATAAACAGTTATCGTTTGGGCCATAGTAGTCGAAGTCGGACGGCAGGAATTGAGGCTCATCGTAGAGTCCAGGGAGTTGCCCTTCCTCTTGGATGTCGTCCATGGCGGTGGGGGATGGTTGATACTGGCTTCAACGGGGCATGGTTCCTTTATAAAAAAGGGGGCTCACACAGCATGTTGTTGTATCAATCAGTAAACTACTTCGTGCACCGGCAGTTCTGGGGAGTCCGTCCAGTGCTGTCCAGTACTGGACAGGAAAGGTGATTTGCTGATGGATTCGAAATGTTAGAACTTCAAAGCGCTAGTTGACCTGAAAGAACTCCTTGACAACCACTAGCGAATTGTATGCGTTCCTCCTGTTAGTATGGGACACCATAAATCACGCTGCAGATATGACTGGCATTAACTGTGGTGGAATGGGATGGGAACATTGCTACATCGATAGCTGGAAGCCTTGGTAAATCGTGCTACTGTGGGCGTGGGAAGTCAAACCCTAACCCTAACCCATGATTGGTGACAATATTTGTCGCAAACTTCTCTATTCGAGGCCGCCCCCAGGAAGATCATTTGCTAGGCCGTAGTCCATGCAGAATCCACACTTCGGATGCATGCAAATATACCTTCACTCCATGTTCAATGTGTACCCTCACGCAATCGATAAATCGACATTATGTCTCCGAGTTCATGTGGTTTCTGTGTCGGGAAAATCTAGATTCTACTAGCAAATACTGTAGGCTTGTTTCACTGGATGGCATCAGTTGAATACAAGCACGAGTCAAGCGTTGTCCCCGAGTACATTATCACATATCGTGCATTATATGTCCTGTGTCGCACATTGTATATTGTGTATCGCGCGCATTATTTTTTACCCAAACGGAGCACCATATAGATCCATCAAGATCCCACGCAGTACTTGGTGTCATGGTCGACCTTTGTTAAGATAATGGTGTGACAACTTGACGCAGGGTCGTAGGAGAGCCTCATACCACACGGATGTCGTCCCATGGGTGCTTCATGGAATCAGCAGTATGGTTCACCTCTCTTCCTATCAAAGTATCATAGAGTCCATGCTATGTAGTTACCTGCTAAATCATCTAGACTGTCACTCCCCGCATTTACTTGGGATAGTTCACCTCCATAAATGGCCAACCATTCGTGCACTCCCGACATCGCGTGCCTCGCACCATATATCCTGTGTCATGCATTATCCTGTGTCGTGCATTATATATTGTGTACCATGCATACCTGTGTGTATTGCATGCATTATTTTCTTCCCAAATGGAGCGCCATAGATCTAGTCCTGTAGAATGTCTCCTCGCTCACTGGTACAGCTATTCACCAGCTCGTTTCTCAGGATATGGTGTCGATTTCAATCGTCTGGTAAGAGTAAGGCATCTCCCTATATTCGGTTCCATAATGACATGCTGGAGTAGGGAGGCCCAGGGACAGGAGGCGAGGATACAGCCACAGCATGCTTATGTACACTGGAGATCACAGTGGCATGGTCACCCCTCAGAACCCCATACACCAGTGACTACTCATTCCCATCAGGTACTCATGTTGGAGTTTATCACCTTTACCTTAGTTGTGGTTCACTGAGCACAGCATTACATAATCCAAAAGTGGACACTTAGCAGTTTATTTTTTCCTTACTGCACCTCAGTTTCAACCAACTTGAAGTCTGAGGTGGGACTCCTTCCATTCATTATATTGGAACACTTACTTACCTACCTACAGTATATTCCTCTCCATAGGTAGTTAATTGTTTGGCTTCAACCAACTTGAAGTCTGAGTATATTCCTCTCCATAGACTTGACAATCCTGCAGCTCGTCATCCTCCAAAAGGTTATGAGCTCCACTTGCGAGTTCTAATCCTAGGAAAGTTGAACATGTCAAGTCTGGTACAAAGTGTCTACTATGTCTGGTCTGTCAGCATCCACTTCTGGTCCCTCAAAGGTCCTGGTCTCCACCTCAACAGTAACCTCTACTACACCTTCAGGCAAAGCTACTCAAGCCTCCAGTTGACTCTATGACATACCATCCCTCGAAGACAATGGTTTGAACTTCCAGATGTAGAAGTACTGAATTATGATGATCCTAGATGTCTGTGGACTTTGGGAGCTCATAGAAGGAAAGTTGAAGGCACCTGATGCAGCAGCTGATCCAGTTGCATGTGCAGACTGGCACTACAGAGATAAAGAAGCAAGGGCTCAAATCACGCTCATTCTAAAGGATGACCCACTTAGTGGTGTTCTGCATGCCATGATGGCAGCAGGAGTCTGGAAAAAGCTATGCAAGTGCTATGAAGGCAAAGGGAAACAAACAATAGCCTACCTTATTGGTGAACTATTTTGTGGTACCCTAGCAGATGACATCTTGATGGAGACACAGCTTAATGCCATGTGGCAGAAGGCAACAATCCTAAAGTCTCTTGGACAGCCCCTTGAAGACTCTCTTGTTGCCATAGCCATGGTCATCTCCCTTCCAACCTCATACTCAACCCTTTGCACTATACTCATGTCATCTGATGTGAGTCAAAGTGAGGTTCAGTGGTGAAAACCAACCAAAACCAACACAAAAGACAATGAAAGTGAGTGGTGGTGCGCCTATGCGGTACCTAGATGGTAGAACCTGTTCTTTGGGAGGGTTTTTGCAAGCTACAACACTCAAAGATGAGTGCTGAGGGTTGGGGGTGCTCCTGACAAAGAGGGAGCAAGAATGTGATAGAAAGTGATAGGGTAGACTGCTGTCAGCCTACAGAAGGATGGATGGTGACTTAATTCAATGTCCTAAGCTGTACTGAGCTCAGGGAGGGCTTGGAGCAAAGTATATGGATGATAGATGATGATAAGCAAAGTAGATGATAGCTAGACCCTTAATAAAGTCTCAACTATTGAAGCTGATGAATGTTTTACTGAGAGATGATAAATTGCGAGCAAGAGGGGCTCTCTGATGTCTTCTTTTTTTTTTGCTACCTAAGTACAGTGACTTATATACAGTACAGGGGTGTTGCCTATGGAAAACAAGGTGCAAACACTTGGTAAGTGATTGGTAACTGATGAGTAAGGAATGTGAGCAATGGGTAATCATCTTGGAAAGCATTGGTAAGCATTGGTAAGGATAAGTAAGCCAAAAAGCGAAGAATCAGTAAGCAAAGTCAAAAGATTGGTAAGTATTGGCAATAGGTGAGTCAAAGACAGTCAGAATGTCACAGTATGAGTCAAGCAATGTCAGGAACTGGGAAAGTGCACTGGAATCACATTAGGGGGAGGCCATGCATGTCACATCTCAAAGATATCACTTCTAGGCCAAAGTGGGATGACAGAGAGGCAGTGCTGATCTGATGCCAATATAGTACATCCAAAAGCGGACAGGGTGAGTCAGATGTCAACAGGGGTCAAGCTTTGGGGGTCTGTGGGGTGACAGGAGCATAGGGGATCACAACTTTCCCCCCCAAACCATCCTCTCAGTGAAGCAAATAAAAACTTCATGAATGAGGCTCTGTTGGAAGAGAGGATGAAGGGGGAGCGTCTTCTGCTGTATCTTGCAACAAGGAGGCAAGATGTGCATCATACTTGTCATGGATGCAATCAGGGAGAGTGGAGAACAGTAGATTATACTGTAGCTGTCACAATTTTGGAAGAATGATGGACAAGACTGGTATGAAGATGTTGCAGGGGGCAGGGAGGAAGGATCCATATGCTTCTTGGACCAGAGAGACTGAAATGACCACATAAGACCTTTCCAAGCGAATGACAGACCTGAGGCGACCAAAGAATGTCCTCCTGGAGGTCATACTGACAAAAAGAACACACTGTCCAAGCTGGATGGGCTGAGAGGGGGCAGATGAGGGTGGGATGTACCAGGACGCTTCAGGATGGAAGCTGGTAGGAACTCCTGGTAGATATATGTAGCCATGGTCCCTAGCAAAGGGGACAAGTGAAATGACTGATGTGGAGGCAGCCATATCAGAAGAATTAGCAAAATGAGCATCTTTTGGAGGGAGTGCTGTAGAAACATGTGGAGTGCACAAATCCTTTCCAATCTTGGAAGGTAGGATTGCATGGCTGAGCACTACAAGCGAGTGTGGGAATGGTTTCGGTGTCTGCAGAATTGGTGGAGATACATCGAAAACCAGAATGCCATACATGGGCGCTTAAGAATTTTATTGGCACTTAACCTGCCTCCTCCTTTTTCTTTGGCATTGACAACCTGTTCTTGTGCAAGGGATGACTGCCAACATTGCTGGCTGTCCTTCTTCACATGAGGGCTATGGTCTTCACCTCCATTCATCAGCTACATCCATGTCCACCTCACCAAACACCTTTGGTGTGTGACACCAGTTGTGCACAGTTGGGGTCAACACTTCCTCCAGGCTGTGCGAGCTCCCTGGAGGAGCAGACTAATTTTTTGGCTCTGCCTTCTCTGCAGGCAGAGGAGGCAGAGTCCCAGCCATAGCTGCACAGGCTTTGGCTGTGCAAGAGGTAGACCTGGGACAGTCCTTAGTGGAGTGGCCCACCTCTCCACAGAAGAGGTAAGGTTGTTCTTCATCCTATGCTGGCATT